CGACGATGACGATGATGATGATGATGATGATGAGGATGAGGATGATGATGATGATGATGATGAGGATGAGGATGAGGATGAGGATGACGACGACGACGATGACGATGATGATGATGATGATGATGAGGATGATGAGGATGATGATGATGACGACGACGACGACGACGATGATGATTCATGATGATTCACGATGAATCATGATGAATCATGATGAATCCATAGACATGGGTGAACACTGCGGGGATTCCATGGGTAAACGGCTGTGAGGTCAGTATCAGGCGAAGCGTGTGGCCGCCCGTCGGGTCGGCTCGAGCTATGCCTATGACCTGCCAGGCGCGGCCGCCAGGAAATAGCCATAATGTGTGGGTTGTTGGTGGACCTAACCGGGGATTTTTAATGGGAAATCAAGTGGGATTTGTTGTAGTGAAAATATGGGAAATTGTGATTTTTCATAAGGACAATATTGGCAAATGATAGCAAATGATAATCCAATTAATATAGGTGTACCCAACCAACAAGCACTATATATTTTTTTCAGAATCCAAAGCAAATGTCCAAACCCGAAATCATGTTCAGTGTATTCATTAGGGATCACTGATTACTGAAATGATGGTCATGATGTGATGATTGATATATAACTGAAAGGATGGTCATGATGTGATTGAAAGACCCAGGTTCTTTCAGGCAAGCCAAGATTATGCCTATAGATCCTAAAGATTGTCAGCGTCAACTAGTTGTTTCTCCTTGCGGCTGCCAGGTATGCTGCACTTGGCATTGACCATGAAATGGATCAACGCCAGCAGCGTCAGCGATGTGCCTGCCGCCAAGTCCACGGGCAGCCGCAAGCGCAGCCCATCGCCAGGTCGCGCGGCCGCAGCGGAGGGAATGCCCAAGGACATCATGAAGGCCGTGGAGCTGGTGATGGATTGGAACAAGATGGAACTCGTTGAAATGCTCGGTTGAGCCAGACGGCCAGACAGTCACAAAAAACAACAAGAAACCTGTGATGTTGGGAAGAGCAGGGTTGCGGAAGATCTAAAAGAAGGTATAAGATGGTGTAGACAAAGTATAGATTGCAGATGCTTTGGAGCCGAAAGCACACAATGTTGAGATTGGCAGGCTTGGAATTGCTTCAGGGGTAGGCGTGTGTGGTTTGAGCGTGGATTTTTCGCAAACATATTTGGAACTGATCACAATGGCATTAAAGGCTGATATTCCCTCCAGTAATGCTCACAAGGCTGAGGTGAGGCAAGTTTTCATGAAATACCTTCATGATTTAACCTCTGGAAATTGAACATAGCTATGCAGCATAAAAAATTAGCAATTTCTAGAGGTAAATCATGGTAAATCATGGTAAATAATCTATAAATGGGCCATGGTTTCCAGATGTTTCCAGTATACCCCTCCGGTCTGACACCTGAGGACGGAGCGCCCGGAGGGCAGTAATGACATTGGCATGTTGGCCTGGAAGATGAGCATGAAGACCCCGGAGTATCCCCAGGGCCGTGATCTGATTTTGATCTCCAACGATGTGACCTTCCAAGCAGGCTCCTTCGGTGTCAAGGAGGACTGGAGTTCATATTAATTAATGAAAGTTGCATTGGTTTTATGGCTGGGCTTCATGTGCTGTTGGTCGTCCTGGCAATCACTATTCTTCCACAGACCTGTGCATTGCAGAAATAGTTGTTGTCCTTCATTGATTAGAGCAGTGGAGCTTTGGATTTACCCATTCTTTCATAGGGATTTCACCGGCACACGGGGAGAACTTCACTGGAAACCAGGATCAGTTCTTCCAAAAGGCCTCGGAGTTCGCCCGCGTCCGCGGCTTGCCCCGCATCTACGTCTCCTGCAACAGCGGAGCTCGTGTGGGCTTGGTGGAAGAGTTGAAGCCCCTCTTCAAGGTGCGGGTGAAGAAATCAACTCCAACCTGACTTGTCATGGGGGTACCCGAAAAAAATCATCCAGTCATGGATGACCATTGACTTAGTATAGGTTAACTCATGGTGACTTGGAGATCCCCGATTGTAAGAAATCCCCATGATACTGAAGATCGTCTAGACATAGTTGAAAGATGTGCAAAGCAAGTTCAGCAGATGGCAAAAGCTGAAAAGAAATGAAGAACTGACACACTGCAACAACCCCAAAATGACCCAAATTGACCACTAGCAGCAGGGATAGGCTCACCACCAATACTTTGGGATATAGAGGTGGAGGTGGCTCAAGATGATGATTTGCCCCAAGAAAAGTGATGGTTTTACCACCCAAAAAGATATTGGATGTTTGCTAGTTTACACCAGCAAAATGTAGTACTTGAGAGTACCCAATCATCAACCCCAAAAAAATACAACAGTAACAGTTCTCTTAAAAGATTCTTGATGATTCGGTTGATGTTTTCCCCAAAAATGGTTCTGGAAGTTGCTGAAATGATATTTTTCCCCAAAGAATTACTGTTTTCCACAACAAACATTATGGTTTCCCAACAAAAAATGATTGGTTTTCTCCAAAAAAGTTGTCTTTTCCCTACCACAACTGGATGTGTTCCCCCAACAGTCTGCGTTTTCCTCCCTAAAAAACTTGCTTTTTTTCCCCAAAAATGTTTTTCTCCCCCAAAAAATGAATGTTTTCCCAACCAAAACCAGATGTATTTCTTCCCCAAAAAGGCAGTGGCTGGTTGCATCACCACCGACGTCTAGCCTTGAGGTGAAGTGGCTGGACCCTGCGGACTGCAACAAGGGCTTCGAGTACCTCTACCTCTTGAAGCAGGACTCGAGTGTCTTACTAGGTTAACTATGGACAACCATTAACCATCCATGGTTTATGACTAGGTTAACTATGGTAACCATGGTTTATGGATGTTTTTGGTAGAGTTTTCTCTATATCTATGGTGGACATCGGATTGCTTAGGATTGCTCCCGGCTTTCGGCATCTGTTTGGGGATGGCTCCCCAAGGTTCAACGCGAGATTGACGGGGATATTTCGGATGTTATTGAAAAGGGGACCATATGTATTCAGTATTATGTAAACGTGATATATTGACTTTGAATTCACATTTATCATATATATATATTATATTAGTTGTATTTTATCATGTAATTATAACTCATCATGTTTGCCCTGGAAAACTTGGGGCCAACAAGTTCCATGTGGTTCAACCCAACAAAGCCTGGTTTGTCGGTCATATCCCAGTTGTTTGTTGCTCACAGCCCATTGTCCATTGTTGCATCGTTTTGCTACAGTGAAACCTTTTTGTTAGTTTGAAGAACATGATGATATACTATTTGATGAAATGTCCGAACCAATGATATAGTATAATAATCTAGTCTAGTATATCAACATGAGCTAGTGCAGTTCTATATGATATATCATATCTTCACAGAACCCGGATGCCATATTAGGTTAGTGCAGTAACTTATAGTGATATGGTTTTATGAAGAACCAGGGTTATACTAAATAATTGGTATATATTTATAACTCATAGGATCCATGTATGTTATATATGGTAACATTTATCATCAATATACCTCCAACGTTAGCACGTATACCGGCACCATGGATCCTATGGGTAATGATAGTGATATGGTCTTATGATTCACCATTAACCATCGTGGTGATATTTGTTATTCATCATTGCTACTTTGGCGAATCAGTTCACCCTTAGAAAACTCGTCTCGCAATTCGTTGGTTAGGTGAATTCTATGGTCTATGGATATACCAATGTCAACAAGGTCAATATCAGTTTTCCACTTCTATAGCTGTATCTATATCATTATCTAATATATATATATATATGATTATAAATATCTATATCAATAGCTATATGATTATAATTATCTTCTATAGCTGTATCTATATCAATATCTATATATATGATATATATATATATATATGATTATAAATATCTATATCAAAAGCTATATGATTATAATTATCTTCTATAGCTGTATCTATATCAATATCTATATATATGATATATATATATATGATTATAAATATCTATATCAATAGCTATATGATTATAATTATCTTCTATAGCTGTATCTATATCAATATCTATATTTATGATATATATATATGATTATAAATATCTATATCAATAGCTATATGATTATAATTATCTTCTATAGCTGTATCTATATCAATATCTATATATATGATATATATATATATATATGATTATAAATATCTATATCAATAGCTATATGATTATAATTATCTTCTATAGCTGTATCTATATCAATATCTATATATATGATATATATATATGATTATAAATATCTATATCAATAGCTATATGATTATAATTATCTTCTATAGCTGTATCTAAATCAATATCTATATATATGATATATATATATATGTGATTATAAATATCTATATCAATAGCTATATGATTATAATTATCTTCTATAGCTGTATCTATATCAATATCTATATATATGATATATATATATATAATTATAAATATCTATATCAATAGCTATATGATTATAATTATCTTCTATAGCTGTATCTATATCAATATCTATATTTATGATATATATATATATGATTATAAATATCTATATCAATAGCTATATGATTATAAATATCTATATCAATAGCTATATGATTATAATTATCTTCTATAGCTGTATCTATATCAATATCTATATATATATGATATATATATATATGATTATAAATATCTATATCAATAGCTATATGATTATAATTATCTTCTATAGCTGTATCTATATCAATATCTATATCTATATATATGATATATATATATATATGATTATAAATATCTATATCAATAGCTATATGATTATAATTATCGTCTATAGCTGTATCTATATCAATATCTATATATATGATATATATATAAATATTAATATATGATAATATAATGATATTATATATAATATATATATATATGTATAATATCTATATCTATATAGTCTATGTCTATATCAACCTCTACAAATCCGTTCGTTTTTTGGTGTCCAAGTTCGCCGGAGGACTACGAGAAGCTTCCGGCCGGCACCGTGGAGGCCCACAAGGTCTCGGAGGCCGGGGAGGAGCGCTACGTCCTGGACGCCATCATCGGTGAGGCAACGGGTTCGGGGTTCGGGTTAGGGACCCTTAAGGGGGCTAAATCTCGTGGAAGTGTTAGAATTCAGTAGGTTATGAATGGTTATGAACTATTAGAAGTAGGTTAACTCTACTATAGAAGGCTATATAAGCCCGTTTTTTTCCGGGAAAAGTAGGGTTTTCAATCCACTAATCCACTTTTTTAGGTCAACTAACCTACTTATAGTAAGTGGGATGAGCCACCAAGTAGAGGTTCAGGGTTGGTTCATGATGGGTAATGGGAAAATATATCGGTTATAATGATTGATATGATATGACTATTGTGATGGTTGTGATATTCTTCATGGTTGTAGTGATGGTTCTGATGATATGATGGTTGATGAGGGTGCGGATTCAGGGGACTTGAGAAGTTGAACGCCACAGCACAACAGAATCCACAGGTTTGTCTCTCGGTGGGGCATACCTCCAACATGCATCAAGCTGATATTTGCTTCTAGGAACATCATGACATACGATGTGATCTTGGGTTACCATGGTGTCACATTGGGTACCAAGCTTTTGGACAAAACCATATCAGGAATCTTTGCTGTTTGAGGCTTGCCAAACATTGGTTGAAACTCATGAGAAAGAAGAACTTGTAATGTTGGTAAAGCAATGATTACCCCCATATTTTGATGGCCCGTTTATGGTAAAATCAGGGATGGTGGTGTTACTATTGCTTTACGAACATCATATGTGTGTCGAAACGTATTTACCCCTCAGGAGTGGATACGACTTCACCCTTTGTCACTTTTCCGCAGGGCCCTTTGAGATGTCCGTAGATGTGAATAATTACTTATCTCTAAATAAACCAGGTAGAATCAGCAGAATCCAGTATTTCATAGCCAATGATTGTATAACCCAGTACCATAAACAGTTTGGGTCGATTGGATAACGTTGTTTTTTTTCCAAATGTTGGATAATCATGGAGAATACTGTAAATCATTGCTATCTAACCAGTACATATCATAGTATAAGCGTACAACCCATTATTATCTATTGATTTGAATCAGTATAACCCATTAGTATTATTAATTATTCAATAACTATAACTATGATGGGTTGAACCATCAAATATCGGATAATCATGGATAACCTAAATATTTTCATTATAAGCCTATTGTGAGCCATTATAATTTACCCATTAATATAATCTTCATTACTATAACCTATTAATTGATTATCTTACTGGCGCAAAATGTAGAGAATGGATGGGAATGGGGGAATGGGACTATTATTTTCATAGTTAGTAAGTGGATTATTCCCTCATTCCCTACGTTTAGCAAGCAGTAAGTTATAACCTATAAATTGAAAACAATAGATATACAATAGATAAAAGATTATAACCTATTTATAGATAAATGTATGACCTATCCCATAGGATCCATGGTGCTGGTATATATGCTAACATTGATTGGGGGTATATTGATGGGATCCATGGAGCACCATATTTCTGGCAGCACTTAAATGGATCCGTCATGGGATAGCTCAGTGATTATTAACCATTATTAACCATCATTAACCATCATTATCCCATACTAAACCAATGTTCCATGCATGCCATGCCATGCAACTCACTGATCTCAGGGCATGAAGAGCACCCAGGGTGGCATCGGTGTGGAGAATCTCCAGGGTAGTGGACTCATTGCCGGAGAGACCAGCAGGGCCTACCAGGTGCCAGGGCTCCCAGGGGTCCCCTGGGGTCCCAGGGGGACCCCTGGTGCAGTTCATCCCACTTTGTAACTTAGAAAAAAAAATGAAAATGTTGATATCTAATGAGATATATATATATGATTATATATGAACATATTTATAATTAATATGTTGATATCGATATGAAAATATCTATAGAATAGATAACATATAGTAGATATATAGGAATCACCATCTGCTCGGTGGTTTGGAACATGTTTTTTTTTTATGTTTTTCCATATATTGGGAATGTCATAACCCCAACTGACGAACTCCATGATTTTTCAGAGGGGTAGGTCAACCAACCAGTAGTATGTGGGTTATGGGTTGTAACTCCAGCGGATTAACATGGATTAACATGGATTAAGCTTACTTATCCCACGAAAAAAAGTGGGGTGAACTAACCAAAAACGATTCGTGTGATGAGCCACCAAGTATATTCCTAAGAAAGCCATCGGGAGCGAGTTGGAGCTACGAATCGAGTTTCCCAACCATCTGACAGTGGTGATTTTAACCATGAAACGTCAATGAATCATGGAAGAAACGTGTTGGTTGATGATGAGTTTGTTGTTTAATAGGGGGTTATACTATCCAATCTGATAAGTTATGGTTTGTCGATGATTTTTATGGTTAATGAGGATTTTATCAGCAAAGATGTGGGGATATCAGTGATAAATGATGGTTGGTCGATGATTGGTTTGGGTTTATATTATCCAAGTTTACTTGGGGATTATCATATATTGGGAATCTCTATTAACAAACCACTACAAATGGACGTCAGAGGGTTTTGAACACTACTCAAGTGGCAAACAGTTGTCGAAATCGGCCAGATTTCGTCAACATGGGGATGGCTAGCAAAATTGGAGAGGTGGCAACATGAACAACACACATTCATGGGGTCAGTGCCACTAGAGACGACGGAGATTTCACATATTCGCACATATATTGAAAAATACAGGGAAAAAGAAATGTGCGGGATATCGCCTATTCCTTAGTGATCATGAACCAGTTAATTCATGTGTTTTTAGACCTATTTTGGTCTTGGTCTTGTTTTCCGATCTCAGCACATTTATCCAAAGTGCGATACAGTAGATGTTCCTGCATCGCGTGAAAAGATGAATCATTTGACAGGATACGACTCACTTTTTGAGTTTCTAAATCCCACTACATCCCAATTGCTCAATCATTTCCTGTTTTTTCCCACAGAATTCCCGTTAAAATGTCACATTCTCTGCATCAAAAGCCCCTTGAAGCGCCCTTGAAGCCCATCTAGCTATGGGTTCTCCCCTTGGAGGACACCTTCACGCTGTCCTACATCACGGGGCGTTCCGTGGGCATCGGTGCCTACTTGAACCGTCTGGGACAGCGAAACATCCAGATGGTGCCGCACGGGATGGCGAACTTGGAACCTGATCCCCTCCGGTTGAATGTGGGGATCACCATCTAACAATGGTGCTTTAAGAAACGATCATAGTGATGTATAGGAGGAATCATGTATTTATATATATATATATTAATGACATTTAATGATTCATGAACAGTGTTTTGATCCTTTTATTTTCCCATCCTGCTCAGATTTCTTGGATTCTATCTTGCTCAATTCAGCATGCGTGCATCGTATGTTATACTTTCAAGGGAGTTGTATGTGTGATTTGAATGTTGGTGTTCTTGCTTGTATGACGGATTTCTTGCCACCAGGACTCACAGGCTCAACATTGGCATCTAACATCAGCGCAAAGGTCAGTTGTGTGCAACCCTCTTTTATGAGAGTTGTGCCATACACGCAAGGAGGCCCCAGTTATAAGTTGGTTTATTACAATATAATATAATATAATATAATACAAAATAATATATATATATATGCATGTATATAATCCCATCTATAATCCCATCTATATCCATTTATTCCCATCTATCCATACTAAGTCTATACTATCTTGAAACCCAGTAGCTGAGCTAACTGGCGCAGCTTACCGCGTCGCGGGGTGGGAGGTGAGTAGCCCCATGATCTTGACCGGCTATGGAGCCTTGAACAAGTTGCTGGGGAAGTACCTCGGACTGGACTACAGATGCCCAATTTTTTCCGAATCTCTCAGTTTTTTTGGGGGGATGGAATTATTGGAATTATAGATTTTCTTGAAAAAAACTAGAAAAATCCGAGGCTGTAGTTGCTTTTCTTGTTTTTCTAGAGCCCAAAAATACATGCTTCGTCATGCTTCAACGAGTTGTTGTGTTGCTGACATTTGACCAGTTCCAGGAACGTCTACTCCTCGCAAGATCAGTTGGGCGGTCCTCAGATCATGGTGCCCAATGGTGTGACCCATCAAGTGGTGCGAGATGACCAGGAGGGCATGTCTGCAATCCTCGACTGGTTGAGCTTTGTGCCCAAAGATATCTCTTGCCCACCTCCCATGTCCCAATTGGCTGCTGACCCTTGGGACCGCGACGTGGAATTTGAGCCTTCTCCTTATCCATACGACCCACGTGACTTCTTGCGCGGTGTCATTGATTATGAAGGCCGTAGACTCCGGGGCTTCTTTGATGCCGGCTCTTGGAGCGAGTACCTACGCCATGATTGGGAAGAGTTGTGATTTTTGTTATTTTTCATCACCCAACCATGAAATGTAGTGTTTGCCCTTACCCTTTGGTACCTGGAATCCAACATGGCCATGTTTTATAGGTAAATCATGCAGATACCCTCTAGATCCCTCTGGTAATCTAACATAGCCATGTTTTTTATAGGTAAATCAATGCAAATCATCTACACAACGCGTCATTTATCTAATTTTCCCATATATTTCCCATATATTTTCGTTAAACAATTCCAGATCTGGATCCTTTCGCCTTTTGCGGCTTCGTGGCCGCCAGGTATTTGGAGGGCTGGGGTCAGACCGTCATCGTGGGCCGCGCTCGGCTGGGTGGTATCCCTATGGGCGTCATCGCGGTGGAGACCCGTGGCGTGGAACGCTTCGTCCCCGCGGACCCGTCCAACCCCGAGAGCCGGGAGATGAAGGAAACCATGGGTGGCAAGGCGGGGGAAGCCGTGGCCATGTGTTCGATTTTGGTGATTTGATTGAAGTGATTGGTTGGGGGTACTATCTATCTATCTATCTATCTACCTATCTACCTATCTACCTATCTACCTATCTACCTATCTACCTATCTACCTATCTACCTATCTACCTATCTACCTATCTACCTATCTACCTATCTACCTTTCTACCTATCTACCTATCTACCTATCTACCTATCTACCTATCTATCTATCTATCTATCTATCTATCTATCTATCTATCTATCTATCTTTTATATTACATGGGAAGATTTGGGAAGTATCATAATCCATGAACTGGCAAATCCTATCAAACAATCAATATAAAGTTACGACAAAGGGTTTTGAACGCTGCTCAAATGTGCATCTTGGGTGTGTCTCGAAATGGGATTTGCCCCAAACTATGTAGAATAAACTAACCGTTTAATGGGAAACATGAACATGAACATGTTGATGATGATGATGATGATGATGATAAACTGTTGGATTTGGGGGTCGCCCTATCCCTATTGGCAGAACAAGCCCATATACCCGCCAAATGTCTCTAATAATCAGACATGGCATGGACATTCACCTCATTTTTGAGAAATTGCTTATAAAGACGACATGGATACCATGTGTTTGGGTTATTTTTCCCCTGACAGGTTGCATGACAGGATGGTAGATATTAAACATTTGCCACCAAGGGCTGCCATACAAGGGGGCAAAGAGAATCTTAAAGAGAATCTTAGCATGGCATGGATATTGACAAACATATCTCTCACAAGAACTGGCGGGTTTTAGTTCCATTGCTATGGTTTCCTATGGTTTCCTATACCCATAGGATCCATGTATGCTACATATGATAACATTTGCCATCAATATACCCCCAATGTTAGCATATATACCATACATATGGGATATTGTTGCCTATGGTTTCCTATGGTTTCCAGGTCAGAAATTTTCCACGTTGACACGGGCAGGTGTGGTTCCCAGACAGCGCCTTCAAGACGGCACCTTGGCTCCAGGGACCGAAGAAAAGGCTAAAAAGGCCATCATGGCCTTGGGATTTTCAGATTTGTTTGGGAGATTTTGGGATAAGATTGGGTTATGTATGTCCCTATAGAAAGTGAATTTTAAGTTGCGGATGTTTAAGGTTCACCATATTTCGCCAGATTTTTAGGCCTTAGATGAACGGCTGCTTTCGCAAACCAGCAGGGGAAGCAAAAAACAAACCAGGCGCAAGCGCTGAAAGACTTCAACCGTGGCGAGAACTTGCCAGTCATGATCTTTGCCAACTGGCGTGGATTTTCAGGCGGCACTCGTGACATGTACAACGAGATCTTGAAGTTTGGAGCCATGATCGTGGATGCGTTGGTGGAGTACAAGCATCCCATCTTTATCTACATCCCCAAGCACGGTGAGTTGCGTGGTGGTGCCTGGGTGGTCATTGATCCGGCCATCAACCCTGAGAAGATGGAGACTCGGCAATTCAGAAAGGCTTTGCTTTGCCAAGATTTCTTGTTTTTTTGGAGCTCTGCCCCTTTGAGCTTGCTGATGTCCAACTGGCTGCTTCAGCTATTTATGCCAGAATACCCCAGAATACCCCAGATATACGTGTCCACATCAAGGAAGTGAAACTACAAATTACATTAGATTACTATCCATTGGCTATTTTATCCCCTTGTATCCGCGTGGTGCGCGGTTTGTGTGATCCATTTTAGATCATTGTTACAATGTATCCATATATACCACTGTTTTCAGGACACCCAGTACAAAATATTCGTTAATATTCATATCCCACATATATACACTATATATATACTATATAGCTGGATTAATCCCATGTTCTAAGGCTTTTGGTTTCCAATCCATATGGAAAATTACTGACATTTATGGCTAACATATCCCATGATCCTCATGAATGGTGCTGGGTTGTCATTTGATCCCTCCGAGGGATCCTAGGGAAAGCCATGGCGCCCCGGGAGCACCGTCCAGGAGATGTATGCCGATGTGGACGCCCGCGGCGGAATCTTGGAGCCGCCAGGGATTGTGGAGGTGAAGTACCGAGCCCATCAGCAGGCGCTGCAGCCATGGCTCCCCATGGCTCACGGTCGGTGTTGAAAAGCCCTGCTGGTTGATGCCCAATGATAGAGGGATTTGAACACTGCTGAAATGTTCCCTGACTTTTGTTTTTTTTGTGGCTTTTGTCATGGGAATGGCAACACCATTTTTTGCGGTTTTCGCCAAACCAACAGCTGGCTTCCGATCAATTTCACAGGTGGAAGCCATGCACCGCATCGATGAGAAGTTGATGAAGTTGGATGCGCACTTCGAAGCTGCCAATGCTGAGGAGAAGCAGAGCATTCAGAAGGAGATCAAGGCATGGAGCAATGGAGGATGTTGCACGGAGTTAGATGGCTTCGAGATGGATTTCGCGTCTGGATCTAGGATGGATTGAGGATGGATTTGGGATGGAATTTGGCATGGATTCAGGATCGAGATTTACCAACAATGGAGCGATTGAACAAGTCCATTTGAATCCATGTGATTTGCTTATCCTGGGTACAGCATAGTCGAGGACTGGGGGATATAGCGGGCAGCGGGGATATTTATGACATTTTATGACGGTTGACCCAAAAAATAAAGGATACGACATCAAGCCAACCATATATATATTTTAAGGGCTTGAGACTTACTCTTAAAACAAAAGTAGGATTAAACAAATTTGGTGGGGTTATGAAGAGAGATTATTGATATCATGAGGTACTCTAATGGTTTAATACCATTATATATAGCCAAAAAGCATCGCTGTAATCAGTTGTAGTTATATAATGTTATATAGTTATAGTTATAGTTGTATACTGGATATTAGTAGAGTGGGATGGGTAGGAATCTGCCAGAACACCTCTGGAAAACCTAACAGCTGATGGTTCTATTTGCAGGGCGCCGGCAATTTTTTGTTTATCGTGTATGTAAAGGGGTTATGGATGATGGCACGTTGGACTTGTGATATGCTTTGATGGACACAAAACAAAGAATCACACAGAGAGGAGTACACTGGAGTACACTGCCACCATCATCCGCTTGCCGCATCCATGCACCATTCTGGAAGAATTCCACCTGACAATGGAATAGATTGTTTGGTGAATCACGTTTCGAATGAATCTTCGCCATGGGAGGCGCGTGAGAAGCAGCTGCTGCCGCTCTACACCTCTGTGGCCACGACCTTCGCAGACCTCCACGACCGCGCGGGGCGCATGAAGGCGAAGGGCGTCATCCGGGAGAGCATCAGCTGGAAGGAGATCGGAGATGGGATGGGGATGGGATGTGAACGTTGGTTCATAATGAACTAGTAGTTGCAACTAGTTTGATATATTCCCATAGGATCCATGTATGCCATATATGTTAACATTTACCATCAATATACCCCAAATGTTAGCACATATACCATACATGGATCCTATGGGACTATGCAAATAGTTGATATGTCATGATATGTCGACCAGAACTAGCTATCGAACGAGGACACCACCTTGCAGGGGAGATGGATGGAGATGGGAGGGATGGAGATAAGTAAGGGGATGATGGGATTGGAAAGTTGTGGAAAATGTCAGATGTGTAGATGTGCTCTCCTATATCATATATGTTACATATATAGTATAAGAATGTATACACAATTTATACACATATGAAAATGAACATAGTTTGCTTCTTTCCCATGAGTACGCCCAATGGGCATCTTGCTGTTTGAAGCATCTTTATGCATGTTTGCTTGTTTTTAAAGCATCAACGACCCCGTCAGACACATTTTGTTGATCAAATCAATGAAGATTGGTGGTTCACTTAAGCTTCAATGGTGATGTTCATGGAGGGAATAGACTATGAGAAAGCCATAAGATCCGATGTGGTACAATTAAGAGATGTTTTTCAAAAACAGGTTGGAGCACACCATTTTATAGTTTTTTTATCCAGTTATAAACCTACAGTTGTGGGGGATTTCCCGGCTACTACTTGTAGTAGCCACGCCACTCATGACACCGGAGGCTACAAGGATGTAACCCATGACGGATCCATGGTGCTGCTATATATGGTAACATGGATCCCATCAATATACCCCCAATGTTAGCAATTGTTCTGGGTAAATTATAACGACCTCACTGCGACCTCACTGGAATCATGGTTAATAAGAGGAATCATCCCCAAATGGCCTTCATTCAGGTTAGTGAAATATTATAATTTACCCGGATTGTTAGCATATATACCAGCACCATGGATCCTATGGGTAATGTAGTGATCGCTTCGTCGTCACGACGATTAGACAGGACTCTCGCCGATATTTCTTCTGGCGCGTGAAGCGACGCGTCTTGCAAGACTTCCTCATCGGCCGATTGCAGAAGGCGAGCCGTGAGCTTGATGCGATGCTGAGCGAATGAAAAATGTGATAAAGCCCAACAATAAACGATTGGTTTATGATTGGTTATTCTTGGTTTATTCACGTGTTTTTGGAAAAAATGGGTTTCACATTTCACACATGAAGGAATTGTGTGACTGGTTTACCACAATAATTATATTCAATTTATGATTACTGATTGGGTCTCCCACATTATTGAATGTATTGTTTTTTTTTTGTGACCATGGAACAAGCAAACAAAGAAATGGACTAATTGATTGTTGACACATGACCCGGAAGACCCGAATATATATATAATATATTATGTTGGGGTGTTGTATTCAATTATCTTGCAGGATCGTGCAGGAAATTCCAAAGTTGTCCTGTTCTTTGTTTGAAAAGAGGGCACGCCTCCATCCCATTTTCTTTGTCACCTCATATGTTCCCATATCTTGCCCCTGATATTTCATGATTTTCATCCATAATTAAAACTATCATAAATACATATGATTATATGATCACAAAATTCCAGGTTATGGTGATGATTTCTCATGTGTCCAGCCATAGTTTCCCATCTTTTCCCATGCGTCGCAATTCCGTCAGGCCAATGAGACACTGAGCCATAAGGATTCGGAGGCCTTGGTGCAGCAGTGGGCCCAGGAGAGCAACGTGGACTACGACAGTCCCTTGCCACGTCTGCCACGTCTGCCACGTTGTGAAGCGGTGGAGGTGATAACTGGGGGTATCCATCGAATCCCTGTGAAAGTTAGGGGAACATATTAATTTCATGAAACCCTGGGTGGACATAATGAAACATATGAAACCCTGGGTGTGGTGGCGATGTGTTTGGTTGTTCTAAGATGTGGTTGTTCTCCAGGTGGTGATCTTTTAGGCCGAGAAATCTGTAGAACTGGTGCTGATGGGTTTGGCTCGGTTGATCCAGGGCGGTGTGTTAGAGGTGGAGAATCCAGACCTGGAATCTTTTTTTGGGGGGGTTGACCATGGTTTCTTGTTGCTTATGTCCCTGGAATAGCATTCCCATTGCTGTGTTTTCTGTCAGAAATCCGACTGTTGTTGATGACACAATGAATACTTGACTCATAGTCATTGGGCACAATGTGGTGCCCCCGTTCGATAGCTAAGTTGCTTTGGCCAACCCAGATTAACATCATTAACTATGTTAATTTGTATCAAAGACCCAGTTGTTGGAGTTATACACCGTATTTCATCAGCTTCTATGAAGCTACCACGACTTGAGTCTGGGAGTGTTCATACCGTTGATCCTGGCGCTCGACCGAATGTAGTCAACCCAATGTTCAACAGCGTGAAATTAGGTCTTAGTTGTTGATTGTCAAACAAGAACCACATGTTGAGGTGATACTCAGAGTTTCTGGTATATTATATGTATAATTAATCATATATATATATATTGTATTTGTTAGTATTATTAGTATTATTATTTTTATTAGTAGTAGTATGTTTATCATATATTATTATATAACACTATTATTACAATTAATTTATTAAAACATGTTACATGTTACATTATGTTTGCAATATTACAATATTTATCATGTTAATATTATCATCATTATTATTAGCATTTGCATTATTGTTAATTGTTGTTATTATTATTATCATCATTATTATTAGCATTTGTATTATTGTTTTATTTACTATTATTATTATTTTTATTATTTATCATTATTGATTATTATATATAATATGTATATATGTGTAATATGTTTATTATAACTGTTGTTACTCTTATTACGAATGTTATTAGGTTTTTATTCAATATATGTTTAAAAAAATGAAAAATGTGTATAATAATACGTTTTCTTTATTATTATGTATTAATATGTGAATATATATATAATATAACGGCTAAGACGGGGGTGCTGCCCGGGGAAGTGCGCTTTGACTGCGCAGGGCCAGTGTTTTTCCATGAATTTTGGGATGTCGGCGGAATGGCTTGCCATGGTTGACGAGATTTGTATCCAACTCACGAACCCCTAAGCCTAAATCCCACCACCGAAAATCTAAATCTGACATGAAACCCAAGTAAGCCTTGAAAGTAAAATCTGATGAACACATTATTAAAACCATGGAAATTCATAATGAATCCCTAGATATATATCCCTAAACAAACCCGTAGCAAAGCCGAAAGAGTTGGTGACATGATAAACCTCTGCAGCCGTGGCCCTCACCAAGGCGATGTGAAGATGGTGAGCTGGTTGGAGACCCAAGACGTGGAAGCACGTGCGGAGTCTGTCAGGACCTGACCTTTTCGCCGCGATTTAGTGCTTGGGAGCGGAGGTATGCTAGGGGATTATTTTAGTGTACCCAGCACGAATATATCCATTCAAAATCATGAATGATGTATTTTAGCCCATGATTTTAGTACGTTTACCTATTTCTATGGGTACCTGGAGGGTTTCAAATATGTCTGTAAACCCCTTCAATGTTCACTCAGTCCCTCTGAAAACGATCCCCAAATGCGCAGAAAAATACACAGTTGATATCAGGTGATCTATACATTTACAAGGGTTTTAACATCAAAAATATGAGGATGTAGCCTGATAACACTGACAAATGATGGTTGATTCATTCAAAGAAAAATAAACCAACTTTTGGAACATGAAAACACGGAATAATCACCAACATGGCCTTTTCAACTAGTTCTTGTACTGGGGAATGCCCATCATTTGCCCATGATTTCTTGTCAGGACAGACTTCCTGAAATCGCACATTCAGGCCCGGAGGATGATGTAGTTGAACCAGCTTCGATCATGCGTACATATGTGTACCAGTGTACCCTTCGGTAATCTAACAGACTATTCGCATCTATCCCATAGGATCCATGTATGGTATATATGCTAACATTGGGGGTATATTGATGGGATCCATGTTGCCATATATAGCATACATGGATCCTATGGGTATTAGCTATGGGAAATAGATGATTTACTTCTTCAACATGATGATTTTCCTTGGCTGCCATAGCCACGTCGAATTTTTTTTCCAGAGGCTAAATGATGACATGCCAAACTGGGCCATTTTGCTATTTTTCCTGACGAAGATGATTGGTTGACATATGTTGACATGGGGACTCTGGTGGAAGTCCAGAGATGTAAACAGCGTGCAGACTTTTAAGTGGGACAACACAAACAAAATCCAAGCTGCATGAACATGATCCAACATTAACCACTGGTTGGTGGTGACTGGAACATACTGGAACCATGGAATGGATCATGACTTTCCAGAAACAGTTGGGAATGGAATGTCATCATCCCAACAGACTTTCAGTCCATGATTTTTCAGAGGGGTTGGTGGCTCAACCACCAACCGATCAGTGGGAATCTGGACATCCATGGTTGGGGGGGCAATGGGAAGATCTTAACGGAAAACCATGGGTTTTTTTACCAACCAAATAGGGTTTTCCTGGAACCATGTTCGCATCATCCAAGCGAAGTCTAGCCAATCTAGTAGAGTCTAGTCAATCTTCTCAGAGGCTCGTATGATAGCCTGTAGCTCATAGTCAAATAGCTCATAGTCAAATAGCTCATAGTCAAATAGCTCATAGTCAAATAGCTCTGGACAATTTCTGAACAATTTGGATATAGATATAATTATTCCCCAAACCATGTTAGGATCTGAACCTGGTGTAGCCCCAATTCCAAAAGAGAGTCATTATTTACCCTCTGGTAATTTAACATAGCTATTGAAAATGACTATTTATAGTGGAATTTCCCATTGAAAATGGTGGATCTTTCCATAGCTATGTTAGTTTACCAGAGGGTAACCAACCTCTTTGGGAAGATCACCTGTGTTCCCCCGCCAACCAGGAACTCTTCAGCCAGCTCTCGCAAAGCGAACGCGCTGCCATGCTCAGCACATTGGCCAGCGCGAAGTGAGTCGTCCCGAGTCACATCCCATAAATGCCACGGGGATGTCGAGTCATTAAGCCTTAACTTAAACACAGTTTTGAAGCAAAACTCACCTGCAACTCACTCAAAGACATCGCTCATTATGTTTGAGAGCGAAATCCCCCCACGTCAGTGAAGACTAGACAAACTTGAGAACCAGGAGCCCAGTGGTAAGCGCTTCATGCTGCAAGCTGCATTGATGTCGCTACCCTCCCGGCGTTCCTATCTATTTTCTTTTTGCATCAAAGACTTTGTATAGCTAATTTCGCTGCAAAAACGCAGCGGCCCCAGCAAAAACGAAGCTGAGATGTCGTCTTTTTCCTGTAGGGTTTTATCTGCGACAAGTGCAGAAGTAAACTAACTGCTGCCCTGTCAGCGACTGGGAGGTGTCTGAAGGTCAGACGAATATCTTTACAGATCTTTTCCCCAACGTCTGTACATAGAAGGCCCATCCAGAAACCTTGGTTTTGCTTACCCAGCGATTCGTGTCACAAAATGCTGGTCGTGGTGGTTGCCTGCCAGCTTCGTGGGTTGAGTGTTTGATTTGTATCTAAACTCTATTTGTTGCAACGTTGATACACAATACGGGTACGAGCTCAGTATCTCATGGAGATGACAAGATGATACAATTTTAGGCATACGCAAATCATAAGCTTTCCACTGTTTCCAGGGTTTGCACTGTCGAAAGCAAGAACCTTGGGTCAGGCTAATTGATCCATGGATCAGGACTGATTCTTGGGATTTGGTATGAAGTTGGATTGGATGAGTTATAATGTCAACCCCAGATTAATAACAATTTATGTTGATTATAACTGGTTGATTGGTTTGGAACATGACTTTTATTTTCCATAATATATAGGATAATCCTTGCCATTGACGAACTCATATTTTTCAAGATGGTTGAAACCACCAACCAGATAATTATGATGGGGTAGCCTCCAAATAGTGACAACATGATACTGAAAATTGGTACCTCTCCAGTTAAATAGCCGTTTTTACGGGGTTTATTCATAGGTTGACATCATTTTTTGGAGTTTTCTCAAGGGATGATGATGGAATAAGATGGACCACCATGGTTTTCGGTGGTGTAACTCTTCTCAGGCAAAGGGATTCTGGTGTGTGAGCTGTATCCAATATAACAATATCCTCAGGATGATCCTGTCCGCAGCCTTTTTGTTGGAAGTCCAGCAACTTTCACAGATCCACTCATCCGGACTCAGTCAAGTGGAAAATCCCAATTCTCAGTATTCTCAAGGCATGTGGCCAACAGAATACACCGATCACAAATTCATGGGCATATCATGGCATATGGGCATTAAAATTGGCAAATCATCTATGATTGGGTGATTTTCCGTTGCCATGTTTGGGTACTGGAGGGTATGCGGATTTAGAAGAGAATCGCCGCTCCCAACTTGTTTGTCCAGTGTTAAAGCTCAACCCTGCTCTGTTTAGGCACGTAAAACTGTAAAACTCATCATGGAACATCCAGTCCACTTCGCACAAAAAACAGCAGCTATCCCAATAAGTTCCACCATTCCCATGATTTTCATCCCACTGACAAGAAAACGAAATCTAAGAATCCTAGTTTCGTTTTCTCCTGGCCTTATTTATTTTGGGCCCGTATAGGTATTGAATCTGATTGGGGGAATGAAATCTGATTGAATCCTCAATTTGACCCCCAGAAATTTCACCATGGTTGAATCCTTATTTTTCATGCTTAACCGTAACTCCCAAAACTTCATCGAAATCCAATAAAATTGATGTTTAAAGCTCATAGGGTGGGGCCCCAAAGATAGCTAAGTTGAGATATAAGTGGCTTAAGTATGCTTTATAACAGATATAAGTCATATAAGTATAGTTTTCATGGGGTGTATAAATCAACAACGATAATTGGGGGCCCCATCCTGCATCAACATTGGTGAACTTGGTGAACGTGTTTCCGTACTGAAACACGTGGGTTACGCCCAGGTGCATCACATCCGCTGAGTCTTCGCAAGAGCCAGCAGGGAGCCATGGCTGTTGTATGGGATCCATGGAGCACAAAAAAAAAAGCAGCACTTAAATGGATCCGTCATGGGGTATGTTTTAAGTACTTTCCATGAGTACTAGATTCTCGTTTAGTCATGTGATAAATCTTATGATAAACTGATAAACACATATTCTTTGCATGTGTTTGGTGCTTTAAAGACACCCTTTGGTGCGTTATTGTCGAGTATGTGATGTGGCATGTCTCAGTTTTTTGGGTTGCCACATCACTAAACCCTCCATTTTGTAGTACCTTACTTTTTCGAATAGCTCCCACGATCTCCCTCGTGACTTAGATAATCGTTGGGTGTATTAGTAGATTCGATGAGCGTTTTTTTTTTTGAGAATTTGTTCGGTTTGATGCACGGAATTCCCCTTGATCCATTTGGATCCTGGTGAATTTCTTGGTTCGTTGGACCATCCAAGTCGCGTTGTGACTCGGATCCTGGTGGAATTCAAGGCGTCGAGTCCGACACCTGGAGTGATGATATACTTTGGTATCAGCCTATAGTCATATTTCGTGTCATTTGGTTTGTGTTTTTGTCCGTCACCCTGCAAACCATACCAAAGATGAACCATGATACGATTGAAGAATATTGAAGACTCCGGAGTGGGTGGCAGACCCACCAGCCACTGAGTATTCGGGGTTCCAGGTGAACTTGCGAAAGGCTGGACATGACTCCAGAAATCTGACCTGAAGTTGAAGATATTCTTTCAATGTGGGATGGTTTCCAGGGTTTACCCTACGCTAGGTAAAATTCTTGGGAGTTCTTGGTCAACCTTGGGTAGTTTCATCCTTTAAGGCTTCTTTCTGGCTACTGGTAAAATGGCTTACTCGAATGAGATCATGATTTTTCCAGGAAAACCTTGATTTACAGAGTTCGAGAGTTTTCCAGCCATGTTTGATGACACCAGAGAGCAATTTCACTACCTAGCCATTGAACATGGCCATTGAAATAGTGGATTTACCTAGTAAAAATGGTGATTTTACATGGTTATGTAAACGTTTACCAGAGGGTAATAACCATTAATCAGCATCAATCACCATAAAGCATCAACTCCTAATATTTCCATTGTTCTTCTTGGTTAAAATCCTATGATGTGGTATCTAACATTTGCATACATTTGCATCATTTGACACCATGATGAACCATATCAGTGGAAACTAATCATGAAATTATACATTAATTATTACAGCATTAGTCATCATTAAGCGTTGTGATACATGAACATTATTACATAGAACATCATAGAACCATCAACCATGAACAAGCACTAGATTCATCATGTTTTTTATTTAACCACACAATCTGTTCCTTGGTTAACATCACCATTATCTAGTATTGGCCATGTATGCATCAGGAATACCCAGGTCGCTGTACGGCTTGGCTCAGTGTTCATAACGGACCTTCCGCCGCCCGGCGCAAACGCTGCCGGGGTACGGAGGCAAAGGGGTGCCACCGAGAGACTGGAGGGATCTGAGTCAACCTTGAGATGTTAAATCCCGCACTTTTAGGTGTCAGTTGTTTGTTTTTTGCCTGCACATGGGGGAAAGTATAGTATGCCACTAGATGCCACTAGAATTAAAAATGGTAGGATCGGTAGGTTGGCTACGGTTTGCCATCAGCAGCTTGGTCAAGAGGCATGCTGCGAAAAAACATGAGCTGTTCATTCAGCAAGAAATTGCTGAACCTCATTGGTTGCTTCACCCACTTCCAGCCCAAGATTATTGCATCGAAGCGATTCCCGGAAACAATAGAAAACTGAGAAAGTGTGTTTTTTTCCACCCAGGTGTGTTTGACCACTGTTTGACTGAGAAAGTTGTTTTCCCCAGAAAAAGGCATGGTTTTCAACCACTGCACCAGACTGGCGTCTTCCGACTCGTTCGTCCGGCACTTGGGACATCCGCCAGGCCATGGATGAGTTCGACGACGAAGGTGACGTGGAAGAGACGGAATTCCTGGATGAAGCGGGAGAGGCAGGGATCCAGTGGGACTCTCCGGTTATGGCAGCGGTATCCATCCCTGCTGCGGCTGGAACTGACCTACTTCCCCGGAGCCCGAAGTAGCGATAGTTGTGGATTGTAGCACTGGATGGGACTGGTGAACGATCTCGCGACAACATAAAAACACTTTTTAGCGATCAGCAAACCACCAAAGCACCACCATGTGCGGGTACATGCCCATTTTTGTGGGGTTGATGGGGGGTCCTGGCCCTAACTTTGGCAAACAGTGGTGCCCACCAACATCATTTCTTTGGTGATATTCATGGCGATTGATCACTTAGTTTTCATTAAACTCCATTTCTGGTAAGTTGACATCGGACAAACGGGGGTGAAAAACTCAGCACATCTCAGGAAGTGAATGAGTTGCAAGGATTCAAGCGTGAAACATGACGGGATGTCACCGTTCGCAAACATTGGGAGATTTATCAACTGGTCATCTGATTTGATTCACCCGTTTCCAGCCGTGTTTTCCTCTATATATACTATATATATGTATATACATAATAATTATAATATATATTACAGATGTAATGTCACAATATTGTATCATTTCCATTCATTTCCTCTATATACACAGAAACTGCCGAAGGTATCACAACTAACGGCATGTTTCCGCCGGATGTGTGTTAGAAACACCATGAAACACCGGAGGATGAGAAGGAGGGCTCTGGGGACGAGATTCCTGAAGAACTGAACGAAGAGGAGATCATCGACATTGGTGCACTCGCGGAAGTCCAAGATAAAGTCTTTGAGGCCTGGGCGGGATGAAGATGGCTGGAAGAATTCGTGAAGAATTGCTAGTCTGAGAGTCTGAGGTGAACAGTCCCAGCAATTTTGATGAAAAACAGTGTGAGTCCACACTGACGGCTTCCTACGGTAAATGCCAAATGTGCGTTCATTGATTGTTGCTCATTCCTTTCAGAAGATGACAATTCTAACCCCTTTCCCCATATGAAGTACCCCCCATGACTGGCGACTTGGCCTTCAAAATGAATTAGAGCCAATCCATTTTACCGAGGGTTTCTAGGGGGTTCTAAAAAGGGGAAGATGATGTTTGAATGAAATATGGGTCCGTTCCATGATAACAGCAACATTTTCCCAAGGGCCTCTGAATTTGGATGCATATCAGGATCAGACTCCCCTATTTTTTGCTGAGTTTTTCTTCAAAACCATTGAAAAAAGACGTGACTGGGCTTAAAAAAGTGTTTTCTGGGACTTCCACTGTGCCACCCATCAACCTCCATGAGATTGGCAGATTCAAAGGGTAACCAAACTTGGCCAGGCAGCCAGGCATCACTGGGATATTTCGGCCAGTTTGGGCCCCTGAGAGCCGAATAAATGGCCGACATCAGGAGATTCAGCTTCCTGCAGACATTATACAGGAGGACGAGAGCCAGGGAGACCGTTGGGATCGCTGGATGCTGTTGGTACCCTCTGGTGATTTTTCAGAATTTGCAATGGATATATTCATGGCCCAAATTTGTAAAGTTGGTTTACCGTAATGAAAGATGGTGATGTTCCATATCCATTACCAGAGGCTAGGTTCATGGTAGCCCTGATGTTTCTGTACCAAATTTACCCTCTGGTAATTTAACGTAGCTATTGAAAATGGCCATTTATAGTGAGTTTTCCCATTAAAAATGGTGATTTTCCATAGCTATGTTAGTTTACCAGAGGGTATGTGACCAGATGGATGGTTTGAACATGAACCTCCATAGATTTCACCTCTGGGTGTACTTCTCGGTGTGATCCCTGGTGGATCAATGGTTTTAAAAAAGAAGCAGCTTTTGACCGGCAGATTGATGTGGGAAACCCACGATTTTCTGAGATCCTGTTGGTTTTGTTTGGTATCATAAGCCACAAACCCAAATTATATCTAATATATAGTTCAATGATTGATAGCATTTTAGAACGACATTGATGATAGACATTGAAAAACCATCAATTTTACGGAATACAGTATGGTACAGTACCATATGTTCAGACACACTCTTAACGGGACACTTCCCTTTTTTTGGGGAACCTCAAACAGGGATGGTAAGGTGCATAGAATGTGATGATCCAACGTGTACCCGGTTGATTTTTTTGCGGTACACCAATGAATGAACCATTACCCATGACGGATCCCTGGTGCTGCTATATATGGTAACATTTACCTCAAAAATCACCCAGTTTTGTAGGATTGTATATACCAGCACCATGGAGCATATGGGTAAAAACCATCATTGTCCCTGTCAAAGTAGCCATTCTGAGTGGGTCAACCCCCTTTCCTACCAGATCGGCCCTGACGTGAGGCCCAAACAGGCTGGAATACGTTTATACAGATGTCAAGTTCCCGCGATGCTGCAGGCCGGTGGTTTTCCCCCAAGAAAACGCGGGCCGCTTTGTGGGCCGGGTGGGCGCAAGATTTTCCATGGGCATTTCGTGGCCATGAAACAAGTTCAGACAACGGGGGAAAAGATGGGTTGTTTCTATTAGATGGCCATTTAAAGGGGACAAGTGAGCTGTGAAAAAAGCTGAGATTTTGAGGTACCTCCTTTTCAGACGCGTTTTGGGATTTTAAGTCACAGGGGCCAGCGATGATTCACACGACAAAAAGGAAGGGGAACATGATGTTGATGAGGCTAGGGCGGCCCACAATTGAAGATTCAAACATAGGGTTTCAGGAAACATGGGGAATTTGACCATCTTTTGTTTTTTTCCGACCCTAAGAAAATAAGCATAAGAACTGGTTGGGGGTATGGTGACCCCAAGTCTTTAGGCACCTTTGTTAGAAAAAGAATCAGGCACTCAACCAGTTGACTGTTGGATAAGTTTTTGCCACGTGGCTCGGTGGCTCCCCTGGTTGATAACGGTTATTGGTTAAAGGACTTATTCTATTTGAGTTATTTGGATTATTGGGGCTTATTATTCCCCTCAGTAGGGACAGAAAGTTCGACCACTGTAGCATAAGACATGGTCCGGGTTTGGGTAGGAGATATGAGAGGTGCACAAAGTCGCTGATGCATCGCTGATGTCGGAATTCAATTTTTCATACACAACTTATCGATGCAAATTAGTGTGCGCTACTGTTTGACGAGCAGACTTCCCACAAATCGATTGGAAAATTCATGAAATTTGGGCCAGGGTTTTTTTGTGGTGACAGATGGGGGTGACTGAGTGACTGAACTACACTCCCTCCAAGTTTGCCTATTCATTTACCAAAAACATCGGGCTAAAATAATCATTACCTTCATGAACTACTGGAAAATTCATGACGTTTTCAAACAGCGGCCACAGGTGAAGCCATTTATGCGGCCCTGTTCGATGCAGCACCCAGCCTTCAATCGCTCTTCAAGACGCCCAGGTGTGGAGAGTTCTCCATGCGTTTTTGTTTCAGAAGAACTTGGGAAAGCTGAGAAATTCGACTAGAACAATTGGACATGAATGGAAATTCACCAGCAGAATCATTTTTCTGATGTTTTTTTTGATTGTTTGTGTGATTTTAAGCAGCTGATATTGGAATTGGTGAAGATTTTAGCAACATAACTTCAACCAATGAATTTACGATAGGATTTTGGATCTGGGGCCCTTTTTATCGGGGCTACGAGTTGATTACAGAGTAGGACCCCATATAGGACCATAGGACCCCTACCTTGAAGCCACAAAAACCATGGTTTCTTGTGAAAGAAATCACATGGTTTTCAATGTTTGATCCATATACCCTCTGGTAAACCAACATAGCTAAATGGAACATTGCCTATTTATAGTGGATTTAGCCATTCAACATGGTGGATCTTTCCATCGTTTCTTGCAACTTCCAAGCCGGCCATGGATGGCCAATGGGCCCTGGCAGGTCTGTGATGGCTATGCGCTTCATGAACGGCTTGACGGGTATCATCAATACCCTAACCACTCCTCATGCGCTGAAAGTCATGGTCGAAACTCTGGGTTTTCAACATTTGGATTTAGATCCTTGGACGAGAAGCGGATCTTTTCAACATGCTGGGAAGGTTCAGTTTTGTTTTTCTTGGATCTAGATCGGAATGCGAAGAGGATGGGGAGACGCTTGAGCTACTTCTTGATACAGAGGGATCTTTGGTACTGGGATGGAATGGGTCAAAGTGATGCATTAAAGGGAACTTGGAGAGTTCAAAGACAGTACTGTGGAAAGCTTTGATAAAAGTGGGGAATGCTTGCTACTCTCATCTTTTGCTATGCACATAGATCTTCCAAGCAGCGAAATGAACATATTGGCACTTTATCTAAGGTTGGCCATGTTCTATGAAACCACCTGGATAGTATTAAGATTGGCAGTTTGTGAGATGACACGGCTGCAGCTCTGTCCTGAGCGTAGAGTCGCTAATATGACTTGGAACAAGATCGTTTATTGAAACGTTGGGAATGCGAAGTACTATAAAATCAAATGCTACACATAAATACGTAAATTCACAACATTGAATCATATTGAATCCCCTTCCAGAAAGCCTGATCTAAAATTAAATCTATCAATTTGTAGGCAAAAAAAATAGACAGCTATGTGTCAAGTCTCCAGAAATTTGGAGATCTTCAGCATTCAACCCGTGAGTTGTGGGCGTGGTCGTAACGTTAACCCCGGGAGGCCATGTGCCATCCCCGGCAGGATGTGACGGTCCCCCGTGTGGCGATTTTCCGTGACGCCATTGTCGACCTCTTTGACATGGAACTGGGCACAAGGCAATGCAGTCGTGCCAGTTGTAAAAAAAAGTTGCTAACTCCATTGACTGTGACTGAAGAGACTATATGTAACAATGTATACATGTGTATATATATACACAATATTTAATATTATATATACATATTAATATTATATATAATTAATATATAATATATTTATGATATTTTAGATGCACCAGGCCCTGCCACCCCCCCTCCCTTCCCTGGGATGGGTCCCATATACTGGCCCATATGAGATCTTCCCCCCCCTGTGGTGTGGTGGGGGTGTGGTATGGCTTGTTGGGTATGTATGGTGTGTATGGTCGGTCTGGTATGGCATGTTTGGAAAGTATGGTATGTTTGGTATGTATGGTAGGTATGGTATGTATGGCATGAATGGTTGGTATTGTATGGATGGTAGGTATGGTATGTAAGTCTGTTGGGTATGGTATGTTTGATACGACAGTATGTATGGTCTGTATGGTATGTATGGTTGCTATGATGGGTATGGGATGTTTCCTATGCAAGGCAGGCATGGTATGTATGGCATGTATGTTTGGTATTGTATGTATGGTAGGTGTGGTAACTATGTTTCATATGTATGGTGTGTGTGTGTGGTATGTACGATAGGTATGATAGGTCGATAGGTATGGTATGCATGGCATCATTGGAATGTATGGTAGGTACGGTAAATGTTAAACACATGTAGTGTTGTCAGAGTACACAGGTAGTAAATAAGAAGTAGATACATAGCACATGTATATATGACATTATATGACTATAGGTAGCAGCAGGTACTTTGAGGGAGTATGTGTGCTGCGTAGGTCGCCTAAAAGGTAGCATGTACCTGGTAAATACGAGGCTGGTAGTCAGAAATGCTGCAAAGACCTAGCAAATACGAAACTGGACCTCAGAAATGCTGCCAGTAGCTTGCAATTAGAAGGGAAAGGGGGGGCGCTACCTGGGGACCCAGCACTGTCCCCCCCCCCTGTGGTGTGGTGGGGGTGTGGCACTGTCCCCCTCCCCCCCTGTGGTGTGGTGGGGGTGTGGTATGGCTTGTTGGGTATGTATGGTGTGTATGGTCGGTCTGGTAT